TTTGAGGAGTCAGCTCTTCCCCAGTCGCATTTTGAGTGCCTTCCAACCTGAGGGGCTCATTTTCCGGCACTATATCTGACAGTGTTAATCTGCTATTCATAAGGTTTTCAGTGACTAAATATTCATCACTCTTTCTTCCTAGTCTGTCTTCATCTGGAAGCTCATCTGAAACCTGTCCACCATGGGTGAACCTGCTGGTATTTAAAATATCAGTGGCAAAGTTTTCAGAATCACAGCAACTCACAAGCCACCACAGTAGAACAAACTGACAGTCGAGTGGTGGCCGTTTAGTTTTAAGTGGAAACTGTCACTTTAAATAGCAAGGAGAGTTGTGCGCATGCATAGTAGAACCCTCCAGGGGTAGGGGTGGGGTATCCATTCGCTCAGGCATCCCCGCTAGTCACCAGAATGGAGGTGTGCAGACAGTGAGAGACCAATGAACAGATACCCAAAAAAAAGAATGTCCACACCTGTATCTCCGTGGTTCTGTCAGGTATTAGTGGCTGTTCTGATCCTTCCCCCGCTTGGTCTCTCCCAAGATGGTGGCTCCGGGAACAGCTGAGTGCCTTGAATTAGAAAGCAATGGGTTTCTTGATTCTGCTACAAATTCCCCTACCTGTAAACCTTCAAAGCTTCTACATATTCCTTTATATGTGGTTCAGAGTTCAAGCATCATCCCCTGAGCCAGCTTGGTCCGGTATTCTGTGTTGTTGCTGATGGAGCTCCTCACTGCACTGCACGTCTACCCAATCTGCCATCTTGTCTTCATCTAGTTGTTGTTGTTATGTGCCATGGAGTCGGTTCCGACTCATAGCAACTCTGTACAGGGTTTCCAAGGCTGTAAATCTTTAGTGACACACAAAATAGAATCGCTCCATAGGTTTTCCCAGGCTATAAATCTTTATAGAAGCCGACCGCCCCATCTCTCTCTCACTCCACCTAGTGACTAGTGGGTTCAAACTACTGAACTGCTGATTAATGCGTTAATTTCTGTTAATGCACAATGTTTAGCCCACTGAGCCACCAGGTCCTCTTATTCTTACCCGTTCCAATTTATTTTGCAGAGCAAAAATAAGTTTGAGAGTTCTGTTTTGTTTTAACAAGCAGGAGTAACTATTTAGCGCTTGAACCTGGCGCTGTGGGATAAACATTGGACTTCTAACCACAGGTTGGTGGTTTAGATACACGAATCACTTCTAGAAAACCATATGCAGGATCATTCTGAGTCCGAACAACTCAAGGGCACTTAATAACACTCCAAATTACCTGCTATCTCATTATCTGACATTTTGCATTTATGACTTTATTCTTTATGTAATTTTCCTTGAAGGCAAGAATTTGTCACAAGAAAAATGCCACAAAAGATGTTTTTGTTTTATAAAGAAAAAAATGCTTTAAAAAGTTAATTATGTTATGCATTACATAAAGCAAGTTGTCAAATCAGGAGAAATAATCAAATTTTCTAACTTAAAAAAGCCAAAACATCTCCTTGGACAAGCTAGCCTTCTAGAGACTTACAGAGTATATTTAAACATCCCAGTGATTAGAAGCAAACCACTACAGCAGTAAACAACTAATCCTAAAATCACAGAACAATCCATGAATGTTGTTAACTTTTATGAACTTTGTTTAGTATTTATAACTATTCTCATCTTAGTTATCTTCTCCCAGTTTGTTGTAATTGTTAAGTGCCGTAGAGTCAATTCCAACCCATAGTGACCCTGTACAGGGTTTTAAAGGAGCAGCTGGTGAGCTTGAACCGTCAACCTTGCAGTTCAAA